GCAGAGTCGACTGTACGTTAGAATTTCCGAAGGGAGGCCGTATTTATAATTCTCGGTCGGAGGAGGGGTTGGAGGAGAGTGCTTGTCTTTTTAGAGAGCATGCGGTCATAGAAAACATATGCTGAAATTGATAGAAATGCACAGACATTGCGGTTTTGTTGGAGTTGGATTTTGTCGGGCGATGGCAGGTTCAAGGGCACTACTGATACCATCGACCGTTGGACGGGGTCTTATTTAGAGAGGAAGGGGATCAAAAAATTGGAATTGGTATAACAGATGACTGATCTTGGCTCTTGATTATTCGCATTATAGCATTCTGGTCGGATGATTGGTACCAGACGTGTTTTGGAAGGTAAAGCGCTTATGTGTATGCTGTGACCCCGTAAGTAAACGTATATTATTTCAATCGCATTCAAAACCACCACGATTTTGGATGTGTGGCGCACTCCAGGGCGTTTTTATGCTTTTCTTCCCTCCCGTACGGGATACCTGCGGTTCAAAGTGTGAAGGAGATTTTTCCTTCTGTGTTCAATACAGCGATTTTGTGTTGGATTGTGGTAGTGGTTGAACCTCTACCTGCCATATGGTAGGCCATAGGTTTGTCATCAACTTGCATCAGAACCATCTTTGAGAAAATCTTTAGTAGGGAAGATTTGTAGATGAAAATTCAGCCTAGAAAAGGGGTGCTCATCAGCGCTGTCGCCGACTGCTACTTCTACCGTACTTCTAGCTCTAGTTCACCTCTTCGCCATCTTATTTTGGTCTTGCTCGTGCTTCTTTTTCAACATTAGAAACTCATATCGACTTATTGTTATTGCTAATAAATTTTCAGTGGATACAGACACCACATGTCAAGTAAGGATATAATTCGAAGCTCTGATCCAATTTTCGGTTTGCCCATTAAATTGAGCTCCTTGATGAACAGGATTAAATCTATGGAATTTCAACCTGAATTGCTAAATGTTATCTTCTTCTTGGTACTACAAGATCTCTATTTTCTGTCTCATTGTCAAAACAGCTCGTAGTTCCCACGACTGATGCAATTTATCCTTTTTTATGGCCTTGCCCTTTCGAAGAGTTCAATCTTTTGGTGATCAAAACACTTGAAATAGATCACTTCCGCAGTGTTGAAAAATTGGAAAGGATTTATCTTAACACAGTTTGTGATAGTCAAACCTGTTCTCAGGACGTCTCGCATCAAGAACGGTCCAAAATCTCTGATAGAAGAAGCAGCATTGCCATTCGCGACTGTGAATCGTTGGGGTTCCGTATTGCGTGGCATTACCGGTATGCGACAGTGAATCTTGTGACAATCTTATTCTGATTTGTTCTTCTTCTTAGGGCAAGAAGCCTTCCATTATTCTCTGTTTTGCAGTTGGTGTCTCAGACGTTGCCATAGAAAGCGCCGCTGCTCAATTATTAACGCCAAGGGAGGCGAAGACCAGTGGCAAGCTATAAAAATTGATCGAGTAAGCCCCCTTACCAGAAAGGCAAGATTCGAGTGGTCAGTGCATCGAGGATTTTAGTGACAACAGGAGAAGTGTGAAGACGAAGTTTTAGTATTAACGAGATAACCAATGACATCGGTGGGCTAACTTAAGTCGGCCGGGGGGGACCACCGCGGCGCAGGCGTTTGCATCGCCTGTGCACTCTGTCGAGCGTAGGATTAGTTGTAACTCGACACATTCGCTTTTCACACGCATGTCAAGTGAACCTGCCCTTCAGCGGCCCCCCGCCGCCCCATCGCCCCAGACCTTGCTACATCGCCCCTGGCTCACTCAAGCTTGTAGTTTCCCTGAAGTAAAGATTTCCAGCACAAAAGCGCCTGCGCTGCCGCGTGGATCCCCCCCTCCCCCTCCAACTAATTACTACGCCCATAAAATCGAAGAAGCTGTTTTTATTTCTTTTGCAGGTGTAAGAACCGTTGCGTGCAGATGTCTACAGTGGAGGATGTGTTCTGCCTCCTTGACAGGGAACAGGGTGGTGCCGAAAAGCTTCTGGAGGGCGGCATAACTCTTCGCAGGTATTCAAACTTGCATACTCTTATGTTTTTGAAGTTTCGGACCATTGTGCCACTTACAGGATCAAGAATCCTTGACACGGGACCTTTCTTGGTTCTCATTAGTGCGAAGTTCTTATTGGGCGAATAAATTCCTAGTAGTTTACATAAATGATCCTAAACTTTTTGCTTTTTGACCTCAGCTTTTCAATGTAGAACCGCTGCCGCCCTGAAATAGAGCAGGTCAATTGGTTGAGCGGACATTTGAGTCAGTACCAGCAGCTTTGTACTGATATCATGATCCTTACAGCCTTTTCAATATGGAAACGATTCTCTGCTTTTTGCTTTCCGTAGATGCCATCGATAAAGAGACATCACTGGAGATCATTAAGGTAAGGTAAAGTTTTTGTAAAGATTTTTCAGAGAAAGTTGTAAAAAGAATTGTAATCAGGCGCTGAACCTCCCTTACAAGGAAGTGAAACATCTGGAAATTTCCCCACAAATGGAGAACCTAGCTTCTTTCCCCATGTTCAATTTGGTAAGAAGGACCTCATTATCATTTTCGTTTCATTTCACCTACTTGTCGCCTTGGGATATAATTCATGTGAATCTATCAGGGTCGACTTCCATTAGAAGAGCGTGCGAAGGAGGCAGTATCCTCCCTGAATAAGAAAGTTTTTGAGCTGATGATCAAGAAGAACTCGAATCTTTGTCTAGCCGTTGACTATACTGAAGCAGAGAAAATTCTTCAAGTAAGTTAAGCGTAAGAGACTTCAAATCAAGCATTATCGAATTTCTACATTTTAAGCTTGTTGAAAAAGCTGGCCCCTTTGTCATAGCTGTAAAAATTCATGCTGATGCAATTGTGGACTTTTCGAGTGAGTTCACGGCACGGCTGGTCCGACTGGCAAACGACCACGACTTCATCATCTTCGAGGACAGGTTCTTGGAGCGCTTACTTTTGTCCGGCTCCGTGGAGCGAAGTAATGATAAAGTGCTTTCTTAGGAAATTCGGTGATACTGGAAACACTAACCTCCTACAACTGAAGGGAGCACTTCATGTAGCCGAATGGGCTGATGTTGTAACTGTTCATGCTGTCCAAGGTTGCGATTCAATCGGATCAGTCTTTCGTCAGGTACATGGGAGTTGTGATATGTCAAATAATTATAACATATCCAACATATGTTATATTATGCATAATTTACACCGGACTGAAAACTTAATTTTGACCATAAGTTGAAGAAAACAGTATACAGGTTACGTCAGAGGTGTAAATGTAGCTAAATCGCTGAATAAAGAAACCAAAATCAGGAAGACATAGAAGAAGTGTTCGGGCTTCTAACAGAAATGCTCCTTCACAAACACAATTCTCTTATACAACCAGCTGCCGCTCTCTGGATGGAGAATGAGGTTCGCTGGGGTCGTCACATGCTGAAAGGAACTAGCGGTCATATCATATGGAAGGGTGAAAGGGAAGGAATTGAGTATGGTGGCTAGTCCCTGAAGGAGTTTCGCTGTGCCTGTGGAAAAAAGTACTAGCCTTCTCATCTGTTGAAGGCAAACCCCGGGATTAGCCCGACTAGTAGGAAGGATACCACGAGGGAAATTGTAAGGTCCGTACCTACCTAGATCACTCCAGCTTCGTCGCAAAATTGCGCGGTTAGGGCGCTAATCCTTACGGGCCTGCAACCATCGACCCCTTCCAACGCTTCCCACCCACCGCGAGAGGTGGTGAGATCAGCGTGCATTGATGTAGAGATCAGCGTGCTCTCTCAAACGACGTGCTCTCTCGCGTATTTTGTCTTCTTTGACCGCCCTGTCTCGCCATCGTACCACATCCGACCTTACTGAAGGTTAAGGCCTTAGTTTCAGCGTTCTCAAAGACTTCTCTTGCTTTCCTTCCCACTTTCAGGTCGTTCCGCAGCTAAGCTATCACCACGAAGCGCTAAGCTGTCATCACATACTCTTCTAATACTAACCAGTACGAATAATGGAGC